GACAAAATAGCGTATTTTTGGTTATTTTTATGGTTTCAAACCGAAACCGGTTTCATAAAGAGGTCGCGGAAGAGTTTGTACTGTAGTACAATATTTGCATGACGTCACTGCCTTGGTAACCGACGTCACGATGCATGTCAGTTGTCATCGCCTCGTATAGCCTCCTACAGTAAACTACTCCGTAGCACCCCGTTTCTTGGTTTGCAGTTGCTTCACTCGGCTAACATCACTGACGGAAACATTGCGTTTATGTTTTCGACGGATATAATGTCTCAGTTCGACTCATAATTAAACAGCGACACGGCAACGTTCGCAATGTTTACATTCCACAATGCATTCAAGTTGTAGAGTGAATGAATTCACGTGTTTGTTAAGAATGAAAAACGTGACCTAATTGAGAGGTCATCGGTTATCCAATCAAATCGTTAGAATCTCAAGGTCAAAGTCGTTACGACACATACAGGTCAACGCGATACGACACTCTCGTGTGACGTACGAGATTAGTATGCAACTACCCATACGTTGACCACGTGGTAATAAATTCGGATATCACATCCTCCATTTTATAACTGTTATTAGTAAACAGAAATTTACTTAATTACACTATCGATGTCTTGGCTTGGTTTGGATTTCAATTATATACTTATTTCTATAAAAAGTAGACATGGATATTTGATAAGGAAAAACTTCATGGATGAACTACTTTTTATTCAGGCGATGCGACGTTTCGATACAGATTCTGGTATCCTTGTCAAGTTTCGTATAATTCGTATGTAATGAGACGGAGTGTGGTATTTTGGCATTTATTATCCACGTCTTACATGCATTAAATTGACAAAATAGCGTATTTTTGGTTATTTTTATGGTTTCAAACCGGAAACCGGTTTCATAAAGAGGTCGCGGAAGAGTTTGTACTGTAGTACAATATTGCATGACGTCACTGCCTTGGTAACCGACGTCACGATGCATGTCAGTTGTCATCGCCTCGTATAGCCTCCTACAGTAAACTACTCCGTAGCACCCCGTTTCTTGGTTTGCAGTTGCTTCACTCGGCTAACATCACTGACGGAAACATTGCGTTTATGTTTTTCCACGGATATAATGTCTCAGTTCGACTCATAATTAAACAGCGACACGGCAACGTTCGCAATGTTTATTCCACAATGCATTCAAGTTGTAGAGTGAATGAATTCACGTGTTTGTTAAGAATGAAAAACGTGACCTAATTGAGAGGTCATCGGTTATCCAATCAAAATCGTTAGAATCTCAGGTCAAGTCGTTACGACACAGGTCAACGCGATACGACACTCGTGTGACGTACGAGATTAGTATGCAACTACCCATACGTTGACCACGGGTAATAAATTCGGATATCACATCCTCCATTTTATAACTGTTATTAGTAAACAGAAATTTACTTAATTACACTATCGATGTCTTGGCTTGGTTTGGATTTCAATTATATACTTATTTCTATAAAAAGTAGAGATGGATATTTGATAAGGAAAAAACTTCATGGATGAACTACTTTTTATTCAGGCGATGCGACGTTTCGATACAGATTCTGGTATCCTTGTCAAGTATAGTCCGTTTGGCTCAAAACTCGAAAACAACTAAACACAGAATACTCAATGAAACACTCATCATAATCATAACATCAGACCAACTCTGTGATTTTTTGCAGAATTTATGACCTAAAATAAAAAGTTGTTTAACAAACTATCATTAAAATTTTGACGCAGTTCACTATTTGTTACGAGGGAGGACTGTAAAGGGAGGAACGGCTTGGTCTACGCGGAGCACGTGCACAACTGCCGACAGTCATTGATTCATTAACCTGTGCTGTGCCGTCTCCATGCCATTTGCACACCTGGATGTTCCTCTCTTTGCACCCCTCCCTCGGTAAGAATCTGTACCGAAACGTCGCATCATCTGACTACAGTAGTAGTTCAACCATACCATTTGTCCATATCTGGCTCTCAACATCGGGAAATGTTAACATTGATATTTCGTGTACAACGCGTTGTAGTGAATCAGGGTACAGCTGCTGCTAATTCCATCTTTTGACAAACTGGTGGTACACTCGGGCCGGAAGTCTATCAATGGGCAAAACGGTAAAATATAGCAGTGGGTATAAATGTTGTGCCCAAACTGAAGATACGTTGTTCTATGCTTTGCATAAGTTTGTTTATTTGTTGTATGACGTCTCACTCAGCGACACTGCAGCCATGACACTGAACCAGATAATCCAGTGACTGACGTCATGTGACAGGAGTGGTAAAACCCATTCATCTATACGAAATTCCTGCTGAGGAGGAGATTTTCCATGACTGATTGTTGTTTAACGCTGCACTATCTCAGCAATATTCCAGCTATATGGCGGTGGTCTGCAAATAATTGGGTCTGGACCAGACAATCCAGTAATCAATATCATGGGCATCGATCTACGCAATTGGGATACGATGACATATGTCAACCAAGTCAACAAGCCTGACCACCCTGATCCCGTTATTCGCCTTTTATGGGTTGCTGATGATCAATTATTACCCGGGTCGTAACAGTTGGATTTATCATAAAAAATGGAAACGTTACCGTTGAGGTCCCCTGGTGATTCGCTCGAAATGACTGTATGCTGTAGAAAGAACGTGGATGTAAATCAACCTTTTATGTAACGTCAACTGTCTTGTGACTGCTGAAAACTCAGTGTACATAATCCTGTTTTACATTACAGTTATTCTGTTTGATTCTCTAACAATAAATAGCACAACAAATTTACATTTTCAGCACTTTCTATTTTTTATTGGCAATATATACACATAGAAATAGGTGTAACTGCAAACCTATGATTTTTAACCCCACATAGCCATTTATATTCATAATTATCATGCAATTAGGGGACGGTGGGGTAGCCTAGTGGTTAAAGCGTTCGCTCGTCACGCCGAAGACCCGGGTTCGATTCCCCACATGGGAACAATGCGTGAAGCCCATTTCTGGGGTCCCCGCCGTGACATTGCTGGTATATTGCTAAAGCGGCGTAAAGTAAAACTCACTCACTCTCGTGAATAGGTTTGTTTGTATGACTATTCTGACCCTTCGGCCGTTCCATACATTGATTTTAGATATGCACATGCTACTACTAAAGGCGAAGCATCACGTGCTCCCGGCCCTAGGCAAATATCAAGTTTCGGAAAACTGTTTTACAACTCAATAAGCATGATCCAGTTTAACATGGACTCGGATCCAGTGCTCTGACTCCCATAATCCCCTTAATGCCGAACGCCAGGCACGGTAAGAACAAAGTACCACCTGTTAACGCATTTTGATCGTGCATCGACAGCCAGACCGTCCTCTCCGCATGTTCTCCTCTCCGCTGGACTACCATTTTTTGTCTGCATTTCAGAAACATAAAACGATAGTGAAACTGTTTATAATTATTAATGATCTCAGTTCATACAGCTCGAGTCATGCTGTGTTTCTCTAATCTCCATAACACCTGGACAATATGTTTCGCACATGGAAACAACCTGAACTCGACTAAGCCACGGTACCAGCCAGACCAAATTCCTGTGTATGTTGATCTAAGGGGAAGTAACTCTTTGATAGCTCGTCACAGGCGGTAGAGGCGCTCGTCGGCTGTTCTGAATCATCTCTACAGGTTTAATGTTTTCCATAGACTGCTATAGTAACATTTTTTTGGCTGTTGTAAAATCATCCAGGTTGTCAACAGCTATTCCATGTACACATGGGTACAGTCTGGCTTTAAACTACAATAAAAACACAAATTCCGGCTAACTTATCCTGTCTATTGTCGGAGCACAGGAAGCGGAACACATCAACCCCAGTTCCGCACCAAATGTCATCTACTTGAAAATATCTTTACACACATTCAGCATAAGTCATCGTGTTAAAAACGGCAGCACCAGTTATTAAAAATGTGGTCAGTTTTAATTGCTGCATGGATGTACATTAATTTTTTAATTATCTTACACAATATCATGCAATCCCAGCTGTCACATGCCTCCATCAGAACTGAAGTTTACTCTCTCATGCTCGTTCAGAGAGCCACTGATTTTTATTTAGTGTAGTAGAACCTGTATGAAGGCAGATACAGTGGAGTTTAAGTTTGCTAAATGCGAGTGGTTCGAACTGTTAGTGTTTACCTGGATGAGTTGTGATCGCCTACCTGCCACACTGGTATCGTTGGTTGGAGGGATGTTATGGCTGGTAGGTAGGGCTGGGACGGGTGGGTAATGAGTTGGACCCGGGTACCCATCTCAATACCCGGACCCGTTATGATCTCGGACTAGTAGATTAAACAATATTGTTTGTTATTCTTTCATGATTAAAGGTTGTATTGTCATTGACGATTTAGACATAATTTCACTTCTTTTGACTATAATGTGTATACATGGTTAAGATATTGAAAATCTCGAAATTTTAGCCTCCGAGCTGAGGAATATATTGTCATTTCTCGCAAATTTGATGTCAAGGATAAATATAATGGGAATCCGGGTAGGATAGGGTAATAGGGGGCGGGGTACCCGGGTAGAACATTTGGACCCGTCCCAGCCCTAGGTACCACAGTACATAACGATGCCAAATGACCTGGACAAACTTGGAATATATGACACAGTAGACAGTTTCATGTTTATTACGTTCCGAACTAACAAAGCATAACGTAGATGGCTTTTCTCAGGTGAAGAATTGACTTGCCAGTGCGTGTGTTTGTGTCAGTGTCATCTGTGCGTTAGGATATCCTCATTTTTTCGAAGATACCTTTCTATTATTATCATCATACAGGGATTCATAAACATAGTTCATGATATAGCTGGAATCGTGCAATCGGAGGTTTTATGATTAGTGGAAGTGTTTTTATAAATTATGTATTGTTTGTACTGCAATAAAAACAACAAAATAAAACAGGAAAACGACCCCAAACCCTTCAAACAAACAAGGTTGTTGTGTACCTGTTCAACTGACACTGTTTTACTTCCAGTTTGGAATATGTCGAACGAGAGAAAGAAGTCGTTGTTGGTGGACAACTGGCAGTCGGGCAAGACTATCACAGAGTGCAATCTACGCATGCTCAACACTGGCGATTTCAGTGACGTCACCTTCCTCGTGGGGTCAGAGAGACAGGTGGTAGGAGCTCACCGCTACGTTCTTGTCAGTCGATGCTGTGTTTTTCATGCGATGTTCTGTGGCTCCCGAGCAGAGAAGGGGGAGATAACCATCCCTGATATCGCGCCAAATATTTTCCAGAGAGTTCCTGAGGTATGCATTTCCCCAAACCCATTCGGTCTTATGTCTGGACAGTTTGCAAAATTGATCGCTCAAAAGTCTTGTGGCTTAATATAAAGACACACGATAAGGTTCATCTTTGAAAGACGACAATGATAAATGATTTATTATTAGTTTGAAATCTTAGTATTTATTGTATATTACTTTCCTATGAAAGTTTGATATGCCAACCACGAAGACCACCATGGGTGACAGAGCATTATCAGCTGCAGCCCCACTGCTTTGGAACAGCCTCCCAATCACAATCAGAAAAATCAAGTGTAAAGACTCAAAAAAGACCTATAAACCCATCTGTTCTCAATATCCCCCTCATAGTCTTTCTGACTTTCTTCTTCAGCGCCGTTCAGCAAATACTTTTTGGAAACAGGCTATATAAATTCATTATCGTTATCAACATTATATGTCATAATGTACGTAAAATGCTATTTTTGAATGCCATAATGAAGTTTTTCCAATTGCCTTTGTAGATATCTATACACAGACGTGGCTCATATCACCAGTAAGAATGTCATTGGATTACTGTACATGTCTCGAAAATATTACTCGGATGAATTGTTCAGCCTGTGTCAGACATTCCTGGAGACGTCCCTGTCAGAAGACACTGCCTGTGATATCCTGGAGCAGTGTCATGTATATGGAGAACTGGACCAGGAACAGAAGGCACTGAAGCTCCTGACAGAAGGAGGGAAGAGAGTCACCAAGTCTCCAGGATTTGTGGATCTTTGCTCTCAGTGCCTGGGGAATTTCCTAAAGTCAGAGACGCTCAAGTTACAGGAAGGAGACATATTCGAGGCAGTTCTGTCATGGACAAAAGCAAGATGCAAGAAAGAAGGAGTAGTTGACTCTCCTGAGAACAGGCGGAAACTCCTGGGAGATATGAGGTATGAGATCCGGTTTACCAATATGCCCCTGGAGTATCTTGTGAACGTTGTAGGTCCTTCTGGGATCCTAACAGACACTGAGAGAATTCGTATGGTTGAAAAAACTGTTACTTCAAACACTGACATTTTTCCTTTCAAAGAAGAGCAGAGGAAGACAGTTGAGGAGAGTAACAGCTGCAGATACGTGCACAGACTGGACCAGTACGATGACTACATCCAGATCCCTCCTGGAACACATGCTATCTCCTTCACTGTTAGTAAGAACATAGATCTGCTTGGGTGTCAGCTGTATGGCCCGTATAATGATAAGATCTACACTCTCAGCGTCAGGCTGTATGACCAGAAGAACAAGGTGGTAGCAGAGCCATTACAGAAGGCGAAGCGGAAGCTTCAAGGTCGTGGGCAGATTACTGACATTCTGTTTCCAGCATCTGTGCCGCTGTTGCCAGGGTCTGTCTACACCCTCTGCTTGGACATGAATGGGGCTTACAGTTTCTGGGGCTCCGGGGGAAAGTTGTCAGTTACAGTTGATAAAGTGACCTTCACCTTCTCAGATTCTGAAAAGAGCACAGCGGGAACCTCAAAAAATGGCGGCCAACTTCCTGCTCTAATTTTCAAGTAAACTGAATGAATCAAGGGACATATTCCTAAATTCAGTTTGAATGTTGGGGTGACACTGTTAGCGTTTAAGGAAAAGATGAAGATGATGAAAAGAACTTACGTCATATATACAGCCAACTTCCGGTTGTCTCGAAGCTTGGCCACTGCGTATTCATAATTTAGTCGCAATTTGTGGCTGTGTCGAACCTTTGAAAATTCGAAATATTTACCTGAAGACAAATATCCCATTCCAATCGTCTTATCAAGAGTTGCATAGATGTAGGTCAAGTCGTTTTTAAACTAGACTATACATTCGGATATCACGTCCTCCATTTTATACCTGTTATTATGGTACCAAGTAAACAGAAACTTACTTAATTACACTATCGATGTCTTTGCTTGGTTTGGATTTCAATTATTTCTATAAAAAGTAGACAAGGATATTTGAAAAGGACAAACTTTATGGATGGACTACTTCTTTATTCAGGTGATGCGACGTTTCGATACAGATTCTGGTATCGTTGTCAAGCAAGTAAGAATCTGTATCGAACCTCGCATCATTTGAAAAAGAAGACGTAGTTCAACCATGAAGGTTGTCCTTATCTGACTCTCCAACTTCTGGAAATGTTAACATTGATATGTCGTGTACAGTGCGTGGTAGTGATGAAGGGTACAGCTGCTGGAAATTCCATCTTTTGACAAACTGGTGGTACACTCGGTCCGGTAGTCTACCAGTGGACAAAACGGTAAAAATATAGTAGTGGGTAAAAATGGTGTGTCATATTCAACATACGTTATTCTATGCTTTGCATTAAGTTTGTTTATTTGTTGTATAACGTCTCACTCAGCAATCCTGCAGCTTTGTGGCAGGGAGCAATCAATAATCAATTCTGAACAAGACAATCCAGTGACTGCCGCCATGTGATACTAGTGGTACATGTGATAAAACCCATTCCGTATCTATACGAGGAGATTTTCCATGATTGATTGTTGTTTAAAGCGTCAGTCAGCAATAGTCCAGCTATATGTAAATAAACTGTAAATAATCGAGTTTGGACCAGGCAATCCAGTCATCAACATCATGAGCATCGATATACGCACTTGGGATACGATGACATGTGTCAACCAAGTCAGCGAGTCTCACCACCCGATCCCGTTAGTCGCCTCTTATGGGTTGCTGAAGACCAATTCTAACCCGGATCTTCAAGGTTGGATTTTCCATGAAAATGGAAAGGTTATCGTTTAGGTCCCTGGTGACTCGCTCCTAACACAGATACACACTGGATTTGCATCAAAGTAAGGCCCAAGTAACCCCAGTCTTCAACGAGAATAACGATGATAATGCATTTAGACGCAGAGGATAACAATGTCAACACTAGAAATTATCGCCAAATCAATTCCACTGAGGTATAGACAAAGCATCTTTGAATGGCATTTAGAGGTGATACACATAAGGAAGCGAGTTTTTTATCGATTTCAACTTCTTTATTATGAGGAACCCAACGTTTCGAAGAATATCCTTATTCGCCTGATGAAGGAGTAAGGATATACTCCGAAACGTGTTGTTCCTCATAATAAAGAAGTTGACATCCATAAAAACTCGCGTTCTTATCTGTGAATAGGATAGATCACTGTACATAAGTGATGACTTCAGGCGTTTGAGAAAAGGGTAAGCACACCCTGCCCTGCAAAAAGGACCCACACGCACACATTTGCATATTTGTTTCCTGACACACCATAACAACCTTACTCCTTGCGACTGCGTTATTTATGAAGATAAATCCTTAGGGGGAAAACAAAGCCCTTTATCGAACCACTTCCCTATGTCCGTGTAGACTGTCTTGTACTTCTCAACATGCCACAGTCTTTCACACATGTCACACATAGGCACTGCATCGTAGTGGTAGGTCATGTATACAATGTTTCCATTTCTGACTATAGGATATTCTTCTGCAATGGGCTGATACTGGTCCTTTCGGCGTAGAATGTCGACATAGTCTCTTTCATTGTCAGCCAGCTCGTTCAAATACTGGGCAAGGCGTTGTGGCGACACAAAGTCAGCTGCATTGATGAAGGTTTCTGGTGGAGCAACGCCACTGTAGTTGCCCCCACCTCTGGTCACAATGATCATGTCAGAGTTAAAATAACGGAAAAACTTCTCTGTTATGTAGTCTTTGCAAAACGCATTTTCAAAGGCGAGGTAGAATTTATATTTTTTAGAGAGAATATTCAGACACGACTCATCCTTCGACCTTGAACATTGTTTATTACCACAGTGTCCGTATATATCAATTTGGATGTATTTACTCATTTCCCGAACGTATTTCATTCTTCTACTCATGGTCCGGCAGTTGCTGACCACCCATACAACAGCTCCTTCCTTCCGTGACCAGATCTGTGAGTAGTTTCTTGATGGTCGCCGTTCCCGTTTGAGAAATGTTTCGTTTTTCATTTGGAAGATGGCGTATGGCGTCCTGATGTCGGCGTCGGCCCTGTAGTCCATCGTCCAGTTGAACTTTGAGCTCCAGTGTTCGTTGTGAAAATGCATCGTCTCCTTCGACCATTGTGGAGGTTCGTGATTGTGTAACACCCACACTTGATTTTTAAGTTTCTCTGGAGGGATTTTATCCAAGAGCTGTGCTGTAAATATAAGAGCGTCACTCTGGTTATAAAAGGCTCTGTTTGTCGTAACTCGACATCTGGACTCCGGACATCCACGTAAAGGATGCAGTCTCGACATTACTGGGTGATATCTCGTCGGACTATACCAGAGAATAACCTTCGTGTCAGTAGTCACAAGATCAGTCGCCGGCTCAATAACACCTCTTCCTAAAAGCACAGCAAGACTTTTGTTCTCTGCTCTGGAAATAACGGTGTCCGGTATATGGCGATATACTTTTTTGAAGTGTTGTCATAGGAACGTGACCCTCAGTGGTGGCTCTTTGTTTCCTTTCTTTGTAAACGTTAATTTTCCTTGTTACATCAAATTTGTCGAGGTTGAAAGAATTTACGTTTGTTAACTCTGTTACTGGATGCGAGTCACCCTGGATGATGACCTGTCTGTTCCGGAAAGAGTTTCCAGTCTCAGTAATCAGAGCATTGGTCTTGAATTCAAGACTTCTTATGTCTCTTGAATACATGAGATTGAGAGACAAGGATAACAGGAAGCAGAGAGAAGCTATGACCCATGTCACCTTAGAAAGACGAGAGCTGTTGGCAAGGCGGCCAAATCTGAAATGAAAATAAATGGTAATAATTTTGTGATCAGAAAATCATGATCCCCTTATGCATATACTACTATCTATCGAAATTGAGTAGGTGCTTACCAACCATTTCGTTGATTAAGGAAATAGTGACCAACCTGTCAATACTTTGACACACCCGGGGAGCCTTTGCGAAATTTAATCTCAACGCTTTTGTGCCATAATGTTTTACATTCGTGACCCACTCGTGTTATTCCGGGAGGTTACGGAAAGGGGCGAGTGGTGACGGGTGGTGTTTACGGAAATTTCTCGTTTTTTCAATCATTTGTTATTTTAAAATTTTTGCTTCGATTATTTTCTCGTTATTTCAATTATTTTCTCCGAATTACGAGTTTTGTCTTCTTAATTCAATTATTTTCGAAGTAAAAACAATCGAAGTGACAAGAAAAATCTCCTAATCACGAGAAAATATTTTAACTTTCTAACACCTGAACAGCGGAATATTAGATGGTCTACCATGACATTCTCAGTATTCTATTGCTTTGCGAGTGAGTGAGTTTAGTTTTACGCCGCTTTTAGCAATCTTCCTGCAATTTCACGGCGGGGGACAACATATATGGGCTTCCCACATTGTACCTATGTAGGGAATCGGTCTCGGGTCTTCAGCGTAATAAGCGGACGTTGTAACCACTAGGCTACCCCACCGCCCCTATTGCTTTATGATAGACCGGGCCCTGATTTCTCGAAACAAACTTCAGTCTAAGTTTTGACTTAAGTTACGAGTTTTACTCAAATTTTAGAAAATCCATTTCCCAGAATGAACAGAAATTGATATTAAACTCAAACATAGTAGACACTTTGAGTTTGGTGGATAGAATTACTTAGTTGTTTGGGCTTTTTAAAAAAAAAATGCATCTGTTCCAAATTGTGAAACTCAGTTTCCCAAATGTGCCAAGACCATGTCATTGCCATGTGTACGGCACAACTTGACCAAACACCCCCTACCCCCAATCCCCAAACCTCACGATTATTACCAATACTGTAGGTGTGGAAGCGTCTTATGTTGTCGAGTATATTTTTCTAAAGGTGGCAAAGAGAATCACTCTTACCTTAGCCTGTACATTGCAGCATTAGGTCGGGCACATTGTGGAGACACCCTGTCAATACATGACAGTTTATGTATACGTCAGTTATATAGACCACAGCTGTTGGCAAGTCAAGTTAATTATACCTTAATTCTATTTGTGATCGATTTCATCAATGCTGAAAGTTTCCCATTTCAGATAGTATAAACTAATTTCTATTGACCACGATGCTACTCTTCGCAATATTAACAATCACGTTGGTAGGATGTAAGAGTGACCTTGCGTTAGTGACACTGATACAGTGATGGGCGGTGGGGTAGCCTAGTGGTTAAAGCCTTCGCTCGTCATGCCGAAGATCCGTGTTCGATTCCTCACATGGGTACAATGTGTGAAGCGCATTTCTGGTGTCCGTCGCCGTGATATTGCTGGAATATTGCTAAAAGCGGCGTAAAACTAAACTCACTCACTCGCTCAGGGCAAAACGTCACCATTAGCATCAACAATTTCAAAGAGACTCGCTGCATCAGTGTGGGGTTTCCTCCCTCAGAATTATTAATTTTTTAGCTAGTTTAATTGATCATTGGTCTGTCAACGTCCTTTATCCAGCCTCATGTAAGAATGTCGAGTTTTGATTGGTTCACGTGACTCTGATAAAATACCATGTACACCCGTCACGATCCGCGAGCAGGGAGTACAACGCGATGACCAAACGAAGTGAGAAATGAGTGCATCACCAAGCCTTTGGTAACGTGCGCTGCATTGAGGTCAATCGATCAGCTGTTGTCAACATCGGATCTCACATAAATAAAAACAAGTCGATTCGATGCGTATTGTTTTCTTTTGATTTAGTAAAAACATTCGGCCTCCGGATCGGGGAATACAACCTTACTAGGGACTGATAAAACCCCGTATTTCCCTCGACACGATGTGATAACTTATAGTAACCAATAACTGTCAATGGGTAACATATGTTAGATTTGGGATTACAGTATCTCAGTAAAGTACAGATTCTATCACTATTGTTAGGTTGAGTCCCGTCCAGGATTCGAACCCGCATTCTCAGAGTAAGGCACCTAATCGCCAGCACACACAGTCAGCGATTTAACCCACTCAGCCAACGCAACTTCCACAAAAATTGAAGTCGGATAACTGGTAGTCTCGACTGCGGACTTTGTGTACCTCTCTGACAAGTGTTAATTGGTACGGCTCCCATGGCCGAAAGCTATGAGCATACAATGCCAGTTAGGAAGTAGTCAAATTGAAGATGTGTTATATTTGGGATTACATCGCTGACTTTGTGCTCTGGCGATTCGATGCCTGACTCTGAGAGTGTGGGTTCAAATCCCGGATGGCACTCAACATAACAACACCACTAGAATCTATTGTCTATTGAAAGTGTAATCCATAATGTAACCTATGTCATATTCAACTTATTTCTAAATGGCATTGTGAAATCTCGACAGGGACAACAATAACAGCATCAGCAGCAGCATCAACAGCAACAACAAGAACAAAAGTCAACCAAACAAACAAAAGCATCCCGTTAATCATTATATCATCCGCCATTTAGCGTTTTGCGACTACAGTCCGTTTGGCTTAAAAGCGTACCGAGAAGCACGTTCACAGACAAAGTTATTTATTCATTAACCTGTGCTGTGCCGTCTCCATCCGTTCTCGAACCTGGCTGTCCCTTTGTCTGCACTCCTCCCTCGTAACAAACAGTGAACTGTGTCAATATTTTGATGATAGTTTGTTAAACAACTTTTTTATTTTTAGGACAAAAATTCTGCAAAAACCTCACAGAGTGGGTATGATGTTTTGATTATGATCAGCGTTTCATTGAGTATTTTATGTTTATTAGTTTTCGAGTTAGAATGCAATTCATCGGTCCGCTTTTGAGCCAAACAGACTATAGTTAATGAGTAAATGCCAAGGAATCACAGTCAAACAGTGATGACAACAGGTGTTGGCCAACAGGTGGACGTATCCCGTCCGATCCTGCAGATTTAATCTGCGAACACCTGGAGCCATCAGTTGCACTGTCACAGATGTTCGTGGCTTTAGCTTTTTTTGAATCAAACATTCGTCCTTGTGTCTTCGTAGGAAGGCGACTTTCTTGGGCGTGTAAAACATGGGCCGTTTTTCGTTTTCGCCTTCGTGCGAAAGGGTGGACATTGCAACAATGGGTTGCCTTCACCTTCCTGCGAATGATCTTCAGTAACCCATGCTTGTCGTAAGATGAGAGAGTAACGTGATCGGGTGGTCAGGCTCGCTGACTTGGTTGACACATGTCATCGTATCCCAATTATGTAGATCGATGCTCAGGGTGTTGTTCACTGGATTGTCTGGTCCAGACTCTATTGTTACAGATCGCCGCCATATGAAACGGAATATTGTGCAGCGTAAAACTAAACTCACTCACTTATCACATATTATAGCGTGGTGGCCAAGAGCACAGTGGTGTAGTGGTTAGCATGCTGGCCTCTAACGCCAAAGACCAGAGTTCAGATCCCGATGGAGACACCAAAATTTGTGACCTAGGTCTCATGCTGTGTTGCTGTCCCTGGGCAAGGCGCTTCGTCCACATTGCACTCAAGTCCACCCAGCTGTTCA